TTAAAAATATATTATTAATATAATAGTAGTTTTTTTAAAATATGGAATTCATGAGAGCTACGGTTCTCTTACACAAAAGTCCGCACTGCCCATCCCTCCACTCCCCTGTCCATTCACAGGGAGGGGGATTTATCAAAACTGGAGCAGACAAAATCTGGAGCAGTTGCCCATGGCAACCAATCAGCTTCTCTCTTTCATTTTCAAATCTTACCTGAACAAACTGAAGAGAGAAGCTGATTGGTTGCCTTGCACACCCTCTCCAGATTTGGTCTGCTCCAGTTTGATAAACTCCCCCCATATTGTAAATGGGTTCACAGAATACAAAGTGCTCTGTGAATGGACAGGAGGAGAGAAGGGCATCCATCTAATTAGACTTAACTATTTGTTACCCTGCACTGTTTAAATAGATCATTTTGTAATACTGGAATCTTATAAACTTTGCCCTTTGTGTAATTGTCTTCCCTGTTATTCTGGAACTCTAAAGATAAATGAATTCCAGAATGCTAATTTCAGGACAGTTTGAAATGACACGTCAGAAGTGTTCAATTTACCGGTTTTGGGAAGTACAGAGTTAACTCCAACTCGGTTTCTTGGTTTCTCTCTGCAGATGGGCAGACGCGGCATTCAGATGATGTGTGATTGGTGGTAATCAGCTGAATGCAGGATACTGCAGAAGTTATTTTCTCCCAGACAACATTACAAAAATGAGTTTCAGAGAAATTGCTTCTTAAATATACTGCTGCCAGATAGAATAAAATGTGGAGAGTGAAGAGGTTTCAGAGAAGCAGACATGGAGAAAGAAATGAAATAATACTGTGGAAGTCACATGTGAAAGAGAAAGAAAATAGTTGGGTTGATTCTAAGGGGTCAATAATCAGTTAAAATGCATATGAAAAAGCTGCAGACTAGAATAATAAAGACTAAGAAAAACATGAACACAGCTACTACAAATATTATTATTATTATTATCATCATTATTATTTTTCTGACTGTAAAAAGCACCTAAGTATTATTTTCATAAATTACAGTACCCTATAAATAGCCTGCTACTCTTTTAGAAATCTATTTATAAAAAAGATTTGCATAGCTATTCCTCCAGCAAAACTGCATGTACATTCGTTCTGTGCGAATTAACCAGCTGTTGTGAAAATGAAGCAAAATAAAAAGTTTATAAAGCCATTTTCTCTACAGGTCAAATGTTCTTCAAATATTATGGACAGCAGGGAATCAAGGAAATACTGCATTATGGCCCCTAGATGGAGCTGAGGAACATAGGAAATAAATCTTAGTAACAAGAGATACAGTATAACAATCTAGAGAACACTGGAGGGAATTAGTAGATAAATGTAACCATTGCTACAATGGGGATCCCTCACGTATCTGCTGATTCCGTCCAGTGTTCTCTAGATTGATATACTGTATCTCTTGATACTAGACATGTGTGATTTGTTTTGTTCCGAATTGAAACTATAAAATATCTGAAAATTCGGACATTCAGATGCATCCGAACTTCTGAATGAAAAATATACCAAATCTGAACGTATGCGAATTTTGCAATAACGAAATTCGAATGCATCCGAATAATTTTCCGAATATCACTCAGAATGAACTTTTTTTGTTAAATGTTAAAATAAAATGTAAAAAAACAGCGTGGAGTCCCTTCCCCAATTCATTAGCTCTGGTAGAAATCTTAGGGGGCACCCCAACGCCAAAAAAAGAAGAAAAAAGCGAGGGGTTCCAGACCCTTGATCCGAGCAGCAGCCTGGTAGAGCAGGAAAGGGCCACACACTCGTCGTCCCCCCTCCTGCACCATACCAGGCCACATGCCCTTGACACGGGGAGAGTACTTTACCAGGCAAAGCACCGTGTCCCCATGTCAATGAGGACAAGGGCCTCTTCCCCACAATTCTGGCCCTGTGGCTGTGGGGGTCTGCAGACAGTGGGCTTATAGGAAACACAGGTTTTTAACAAGTCTTTTATTTAAAAAAAAAATATATGTCCATCACATTATCCAGCGCTGTAGATCCACGTCAATCATGATGGATGATGGTCACCAACTCGCTGAAAGAAAAAAATTCCCAACGCCCTCGGACACATCAGATCCCTACGAACACTGGCCGCAAAATGACAGCTCTGACCCGAATGTCAAGAAAGGGGCAGAGCGAGTTGTGATATCATGGGACTTACCACCTTTTTCAAAAAAATGACTTTTTTTTTGGTGTGTTTTTTGTTTTGTTTCTAACCTATTTTACTGTATTTGGTGAATGAGTAGGGGTAATAACTACCCCTTACTCATTTACAAGGGGGGCGAGATCTGGGTGCCCCCTTTTACAAAGGGCTGCGAGGAAAAGGAGCTTGTCCTCATTGACATGGAGACAAAGTTCTTTGCACCATCTTTATGTTGAGGTCATGTGGCCTGTTATGGTTCTAGGCTGCTGCTCAGATCAAGGGTCTGGTAAGGGATTTTAGGGGGGGACTCCACTCTTTTTTTTGGGGGGGGGGGGGTTGGCGTTGGGGTCCTCCCTAAAATTCCTACCAGACCTAAAGGATCTGGTATGAAGTGGGGGGTACCCCAAGTTTGTTTTGTTATTGTTTCTGCGGACTTCAAGTTAAAAAGAAAAAAGTAAACACATTACTTTTTTTTAAATGTCACTTTTCTGCAACAAATTTTCGTTCCTAAATATAATTTAACCCTTTCAAAATTAACAAAAATGTTGGATTCGGACGAATCCAAATATTGAAATGAATTGACTTTCGGACCCAAGTCCCGAAAAATGAAAATAACGCAAAATCCAAAATGAAGTAAACCAAAACAATGTATTTTTTTTTGCCATCGCACAGGTCTATTTGTGTACCAAGATCCCCAGCTCCCTCTAGTGGCCATAAGGCAGTATTCCTGATCCACTATTGCCCATATTTGAAGAATGTTTGACCAGAAGAGAAAATTTTGCCCAATTTTCACAACAGATGGCTAATTTGCACAGAACGAATATGCATGCAGTATTGCTGGAAGAATAGCTAAGAAGATATTTTTTATGAATAGACTCCTAGTTGTTAATATAAAGGAAATGCTGAACTCCAGACAGGCAGTTTAATACACAGTTTAAAACATACATTTATTGTTTTATCTGCCAAGGTGTTTATAATTCTGTACAGGAAATCTGATAACATCTGCCACAGTGCACAGCCAGGCAAGGGACACAATTTTATCCTGGTTCTGTAATACAGCTTCCCGTGTCACATCTCGGTCTCTAGCTTGTTTACTGGACAAAACAGCAAATAGTAGAGAAGTCTTTCCCGGGCTGTGGACAGGATCTGCAAATTGCAAGATTGTCTACAAGGAATTACAGAAACTTTGGCAGCGACAGTAAACACAATAAAGTAAAAAAGAAAAAAAAAAGCCAACATTAAGAAAAATAAAAATACAAGGGATTACTTGAGGGGTTCTCGGAAAAAAAATGCCGCATTAACGGCTAATGAATATTTGGGGGCATGTTCAAAAGTGGGTGCGGTCTATAAAGTGGGTGTAGCATTACGGCATATGTAGTGTTGCTCCTTTCCTTCCACACCTTGCTATATTTTAGAAACATAGGGCCTGGGGGCACATTGAAGAGAGAAATGTGTTGAGTTGAATAAAACTAAAATAAATCTCTGGCCAAATGGAAGTGCCTTCAGATAGCTGATGTAATTTTCATCCACTCCTCATTCCCACACTCCATCTGAATACTGGACTGTTCTGATAGTATCAAACCTTGCCGGCCCTTTCTCGCCTCCTACTCATTCCAACTGACCGTTGAGGCAGCCCATTATAGTGATGGCCCAATGTACGAGAACTCTCTCCACACCTTCATGTGAAAACCTGGTGGCTGTCACTGCATTGTGGGAGGAAGTGGAGATGTAACTCTCCCCCATACCTGTAGTAGGGGTTTTTCCCTTTCCCTTTGGCGAGTGAACAGAGCAGCATGGGTGTGAACAAAGAATAGTAAAAGCAGTGTGGATGTGGACAATCAGGTGAAGCTGTTGCTTTACCCTACAAGAACAAACCACAGAATTACTTCAACCCTTTACTTCAACAATTCTAATCATACCCCTAAAGCAGGGGTGTCAAACTCAATGTAATCATGGGCCGCATCAACATTATGGTTGCCCTCAAAGGGCCTGTAAGACTATATAAATGTATCTAATCTTTATCATAATTGCCTCTGCATTCGATTATCACTGGTTTTAGTAATAACTTAATTCCTAGATCTGAAAGTAGAAGTCTAGGAAATGGCCTGGTGGGCCGGATTCGGCCCCTGGGCCTTGAGTTTGACACATGTGCCCTAAAGATAACCTCACCCCTAAATCTAATCCAACAACAGATCATTATTTTTACAAATATAATAATATCATTTATAATAATATGATTACACCATCAGCTATTTTCATCAAGCATGATAGTAACAATCCACAGGGAAAGGTCCAAGCCAATGATTAGTATTAGGTATTCCAAGATTCTACAGGTAATGTATATACAAACAAACAGATGTGTTGACCCAGTTATATTTAAATTTTGATTTTCAGATTTAGCCGATGCGGTTGTAAGATCTATCTATCTATCTATCTATCTATCTATCTATCTATCTATCAGATAGATAGATAGTGTACATTGGTGGCTTTGCATTGATTTTCTCCAACGTGTTCTCTGCATCCCCTCCAGCACTTGCAGTGGGGAAGGCCAGAGACTGGACTACAGGGTTTGCAGATAACATATTACAGCTGGAGGGAAAGCTGACTTGCCATAATTAATGGTGCTTCTGGTAATAGGATTTCCCAGCCCTGAGGAACCTTTTTACATAAGATATTGGCTGGAGAGTTATGATTTATAGGGGTCTGATCCCAAAGAGAATCTGCACGGGGACTCATGCTGGAAGGAAATTTATCAAGGCAAGCAAGAGGAGAGACAGAAAGACTGGTGCTGGGGAAAACTGGCAAGTCAGGGAGAGGAGAAATGAAAAGTCCAGAAGGTATAGAAAAAAATACGAGAGCGTTCTATTGATCAATAGCTCGAAATGAGGTCAGAGGTTAATAGAAATCTTGCAAACGTTTTGTTCTCATATTATCGACAGTGTTTATTTGTGGCTTGACTCCCTCTTGTGCACAAACTAAGTATTGCCAGTCTGCTAAAACATTCCAAGCAACTGTTCTTGCAAAACAGACACTGGTTCAAATCATTTTATTTGGAAGGATTAGACCATTCCCAGTTGGGATTTAAAGTTCTTAAGCTCAGAGAGACTGATTGAACTTCCCCCGCATACTATCATTATCAATGGTCCTTGTAGCTGTTCTAACTTGCCCTCTTGTTGCAGCTGCTGGATGTGTCCTGAATATACAGCAGCAAGAGCAGCTCCACATGCAGCCTCCACCAGCATCCGTTCATCATCTGGAAGAAAAAAAAATTAATGAGGGACAGAAGTAGCGGAGTGAAACAAAATATACAGCATGGCTTAAAGTGACATTAAAGGATACCCCCCATGCTAGTGTAAGGACTTACCTTAAATTATGCCTCTTGATCCGATCATCTTCTTCTTTCCTGTAGTTTTCAGGAGTCCCTCCAGGACTGGTGCTGGTCTCTGATCCAGCTCTGACTCCTATCTCTTCCTGGCACTTCCTGTTCCACGGAGTCTGTGCGGGTGCACGCTGCCTCCATTGACTTATCTAGTGTCTCTCCTCGTCCCCCGGCCGAAGATCTGTACTGCGCATGTGCCCACCCCATGATCCTTTGCGGCCATCCGAGATTCTTCAGATCTTCGAACGGGAGTGTGCGGCAGAGGCACAGGTAAGTTTAAACGTTTTTCGTAACTTTTTGTTATGTTTTTGCATATATCTACTGCTTGCTAGCAGTAAATATATGCAAAAACCCTTGAAGGGGTTTCAATATCCTTTAAAGTGACATTCAACCCTCAGATTTTTTAACATAAACCAATACTGTAATGTGTGCCTAACTGTAATCCATGGTAGTTTCCCTTCTCTTTGCTGCTCTTCCTTTTAAATCTGTATCTCTTCTCATGCTGGGGGAGAACTTCCCTTTGCAGCTGAGTGCCTCTTCCTGTAGTGCTGGCTCAGGTTGTGAACCTATACACAGACACCATGTATCCATTTCAGAGGCAATGCAGTCTGCTGCAAAACAGAAGTTCTGCCCAGCATGAGAACAGATACAGATTTAAAAGGAAGAGCAGCAAAGAGACGGGAAACAACCATGGATTACAGTAAGGCACACATTACAGTATTGGTTTATGTTAAAAAATCTGAGGGTTTAATGTCACTTTAAGTCTAATAACCTTCTAAAAAGAGCAGCACCATTAGAAAGTATAGCCAGATATACAAGGCTTCTGAAAGTTAATTTCTAATTGAATGATGTAGTTTAGTAACCATGATTGCTCTTCAAAAACCTTATCGGGGCAACCTTTGTAACAAGTACAGATAAATGTCAGTGTGTCCCTGATCCAAGGATATTTAGCTGTAACATGCTAGTCCTAGCATGATATTTTACAATCTTCCCATACTACTTGAGCCCACGTAACTCTATAATGATTTTCTTTCCGTTTGGAAGATTGCAGAGAAGGATGCAGTGGCTAGAATCATGCATGAGCTAAAAGTAGAACTTTGCAAATGAATATATGTGCACAGGGAGCACTAAAGTAATAAGTAATATTGATACATTTATCTTAACCAGATCCACAGATGTTACTGTGGTAAAGATGCTGTCATCTTGCCAATTCAGAACAAAGTGACAGGGTTTTTTTTAAAGCCAACTCACTAACCGACCTTTTACTCACCTTCCCAGTGCTCTCCCACTGCTCCTTCATCTATGACTTCCCATTCAACATATTGAGTGTGGTCTGGTGTCAGAGCATAGCCGGTGTGTCACTCCCTCCATAATGTGCCAATGCTTTAGCCTAGCACTGCATCATGGGTGGAGATCACATGTAGACACACACCAGAACAGAAGAAAGAGTGGTGGAGGAGCCCTGTGAAGTTGAGTGTAAGGTGCTTTGGCGTGTCCTATAGTCACTTGAGTTCCCAGGACTATTTCTTCCTAAATCCCCAAGTCCCAAAGTTTTTTTCATTTTAGCAATGTCTCGGTTCCCCAAGTTATATCTTAAGTTTTGTAGCCTGCCCTAATGTATTATAAATCGTTTTCTTTAATGGAACAGATAGGGCTTTAGTTTGGTAGTAAATGTGAATACATATATATTTTATTTCACTGTTTTTTATTGGGATTAAATAGTTTAAAAAATCCTGTAATTTTTTACAACACAGCATCTACAGTATTTGTGTAAACTGTAAGCATAACATCGAGGTAAGATTAGGTTGGGTTGATGACTGCAGAAAATAGCATGCAGGCGACTTTTTCACAGGTTTGCAATCGCTAAAATTATTTATGACATGATGGAGTTATGCACGCTCTATCAGTACAGTACTAATACCTTTACCTGCTTCTTATTTTTCGATCTGTTGGTCCTACCCGGACTTTCTTTGTTGTTAGATACTCTTTATTCCTTTGTATAACTGAAAATACCCAAATAAAAACCTATTGAATATAAAATTTGAATGACATTACATTCACTTACGTGAGCATTTTATGCTTGCGCAGTAAACGCAGATGTCATTCAGATCATCTGACATCATTGTTGCAGCCTGAGGATTAACCCTTTTGATGTCATTTGTAGCTGGAAATGGGACTGTGTAAAGCAGACTGTCAGCTTTACACTGGAAGCGATTCTGGTGGCTGACCTGCATTCAGATCGCTTCCAGGGGCCGTTGTAGTGCCCCCCCTCTCCCTTGCTTTCCTGGCTCTGCTGCCCCTCCTGCGGGCCCGGACCCAGCATCACTGGTGTTGTCAGGAGGCTGGGAAGGACAACCACCAAACATCCATTTGCCAATCTCTTCCCCGCTGAATGGGGCCAGAAGCAACGTAATTGCATCACTTCCGTTCCCTCAGCTGTTATTTCCCAGCTGCAGAGGCCGGGGAAGTAGCTTTTAGAGTGCAATCTGCGCTCCAATAGCTTCTTTGGAGGGAAAGTTAATTGACCCCTAATGTCACCTTAAAGAGAACCTGTCACCACTAGTATGCTATCACATGACCGATGAAGACAATCATAAGAACAAGAAAGATGTCAAATCATTATCCACTTTTCTACATACCCACAAACATCTCTATGGCTCGTACTGCCTCCACATCATCCACAGCCACAGAAATAACTTTGTATTTTCTTGCACACTCCAGAGCTCGATCACATACTGTTTTTGCACCTAGGCACTTGGCAATGCTGTAAAATATTTTTTTTAAACTTTAGATTTAGGACTGCAGTTTGGACGATCCCTTTCCACTGCCAAATTACATTTACCTAAAGTTGAAAATGTATTAGATACAATCACCTAGAATATTATACTGCACACACCTTAATGCTTTAGGCTATGTTACTTACTCTTAAATCGTTTTCATACCATTATGGCATCAGTCTCCTTGCCACCAACTAGAAATCAATGCAAATTTTTCTTCATAGACTCAACTGGTGTCCATAATGCTGTTACAAAAGATACTGATTTGTGTTATGTTCACCTCCCTCTCTTCTTCCTCCTACCCCCATTTGTCTGTCCTACTCATCTTTAGGGGAATGTTCCTCTAGTTTGTCTGCATTTATTGTTCACGTTTTTAATAAAAACAAGTTTTTAAAAAAATACATGAAAAAGACACATCCACCATTTGGATAAATCACAAGTTGCTTCCAACCTTCTCATGTGGAAGATAATGTGGGTTAAAGAGACCGCTCTCACTTCACAAGTGTCACACTGTCAGAGTTAATTGGTCTTGAAGGAAGCATGTAGTTGTCAGGCACCTACTAAGTCTTAATAACCCTACTGAATTGCTGCTTCAATGGGGGCTATAATTACAGGTGCTTTGTGGTCTAGTGACAGGCAGGCAGTCTTGTTTCTTACATCTCTATAAACCATGTCCATTTGGTCACTGCTATGAGGATAGAAAAAGTAGTTGGAAATTATCTATGCCATTCACAGAATATAGAGCGTATCTAAAGTGTATATAGTTTCTTCAGTCTTCCACTACCTGCCGATATAGTCTAGAATACTTTGCAGTTTATATTAACATATTTCTGTCATTGTAGATGCTATTTCATTACAGGGCTGCATGCTCATTATTTAAAGTATAATAATTAGGAATGTTGATGATCCCCACGTGCTCTGACATCTGGGTCACCGTATGTCCTGAAGTTCTACTTCACTTTCTCCTCTGCTGATTGACAGCAGCAGTGGGAGGGTGCAAAAGCCAGCCTGCTATTGGCTATTGCAATTTGAAATGGCCATTAGCAGCCTAGCTACTCATTCCCCTGCTATCTGTTTTTTTTTTTTAATCTGATTTTTTATTCTTATTGTAAATAGGGAACTTACTGTATATTTTCATTAGCTGTAGCGTGTGTAAACACTTAGTCTGGGGTGGGGGAGAGGGCACCTCCCTGAAAAGAGTTTTTGCAGGTTGGGATGTCTGAGTGTAAGTAAATCCTATTACACAGTAGCGGAACTACCACCAAAGCCACCCACACAGCCACTACGGGGCTGTGTGATTTCTAGTTACACCCCTGCTTTTACAACAGTATTTGTGAATAGCGGAGGCCAAATATCAGGTTCCAAGAGTGACATCTTGTAGTTACTCAGAAGGGGTCAATGACCTTTAATTTGTTTTTATTAGGATCCTAATTTGAATTTCCAAGTTCATTAAAAAAAAACATTTGTACATCTGGATGGATCACATTAATGTCAGTTATCAAGCATGTCCTCTAAAAGTCTTACCTGGTAATGTCAGGTAAAGTCACTGGCTTTCCAGCTTCAAGGGCTGCATTCAGACAGTGGGCTCCCATTGTTTCCATGGCAATGATGGGCACATCAGACCACCCAACTCTGGTAAGTCCTTCTACTATTCCAGCAAGGAGACCTCCACCCCCTACTGAAACCACAAGAGCTCCTGGCTTCTGATTCCCCAAAGCTGCTTTCAGTTCTAGCACCAGACTAGAGTGACCTTCCCTATAAAAGGTAGACAATTGTGTAGCAGTATTCAGAAAGCAACACATAAAATCAATCTGCAAGAAAACAAGATTTTCTAACATTGAAAACAAATGGAAAGTGTAAAGCCATATAAAACTTTATTTGTAGTTATACGGATTATATCAAATTCTCTGTCATGGCCCAATACAGTAAGTACAAATCACTCTCCTCCCAGTCATTTCTCTACCTCTCTGTTAGAAGCTCCTGAGCTAAATCAATAAACTATTGTGAAGGTACTTTAATTCAAATCACTGGTGCCTCTAGGGAGGCTGGCTGGAACGTCCACCTTGCAATGTGTACACCATGGCTCCATAACCTTGTTGGCCGAACAGAACTCGAAACAACAAAAAAGCAGGTCCTTAAAGTAGTGTTTAATTCTCACACTTTTTCAATAATGAATCCAGATCAAACCAACACACATTGCCCAGCAAAGTATTCCTTTAAAATGTTTGCCCAAGCTCCTACAATCATCATGTTCCTGAACAGCTGACTCCAACCCTCTCAGCTCTGCTTCCCTGAACTTCCTGTCCAGTATCCGTTCACAAGGGTGAGCACAGTCTCTAGCAGCTGTTCACCTACTAGCTTGGAGAGGGGAGAGGGAAGGGAGGAGGAGCAGGGAGGAGTAGCTTGCCTTGCTGTGTCTGTGTGTTTTCAGAGATGCACACAGCTTACTAGCACACACAAGGGTGGCTACATAGGTCTCTGCAAGGGAAAGGAGTCAGCTCAGAGGACCAGCTGATTCTGCAGGAAACTAAAACTTGAATACATCAAGGAGCAGCATCCATTGTAAGTGATTTAATCAGCATTTGAAATAGCTAAAAAAAATTGAATTTAATATCACTTTGAGGCAGATCTTTCATACTTGTTGTGAGTACATCCAATATGGTTAATATCCAAACCTGATTTCTTGTGTTTCTATTGTGTCAGATAAATGCAATCAGATAGAGATGTTCAAGAGAGAGTTGTTCTGTAGCAGCTGGAGCAGATCAAGATCAGAGGGTCTGTTATATGAAGCTCTGCTCAGTATGGAAGAAAGAAACCATAGAAGTCACCCTGCTACAGTGAGATGTTGGTGAAATGCTCAGATAATGGACCAGACTACATTTAGGCCAGATGAGAAAGTGTACAAAAACTGGTTATATTGGACATTTTGCATTGAATATTCCCTTAAAATTGTATAAACAAAATTAGTTTAGTTTAGCTGAAAAACTAGGATAATAAAAATGATAAACATAAATGTTTATATGAGAAAACAACAATTGTTCCAGACATCCCAACTCTCCCGGACATTCCGAGAGTCTCCTGCTATAAGATAGGGGCTCCCGGCCACCCGGGAGAAAAATATTTTCTCCCAGGAAGGTTTACTCTGCTCGATCTGGCAGAGTAAACCTTTCCCTGCTGTCTTTTTTTTTTTTTACTCTAATATCTGAGCCGCCGACCGCCGT